GTGCTCTCATGTTGCTGTAGGCTTTTACCTATATGAAACAAATGTGATTTGATTTTGTTACAATACTTGAATATTTTCAATAGAAATTTCTATTCAACTACTTGTAGTTTAAGGTAAATGCATATAAAAATGTGAGATTTTAAAATGCACACATAATATAATTTTGATTTTAGGTATGTGTAGAGAAATACCCAAGATGGCAAAATATGCATATAAACACTTAAAATTTTCATTTGGTGTAAATAATCATTAGAAATTTCTTAAAGGTCTCAAACTTTAAAAAAAAAAAAAGGTTAAAATATTAACAGTATTTGAGATAATTTTATGTAACTTCAAGTAATTATCTGCACCTAATGCTAACTTCAAGTTCTTTTTCGCACATCTTGAATTAAATCTTAAGTTTTTTTGTATCTCACCTCAAATTATAAATATGTTACATGCATATTTTAAATTTTTTGGTTGTTCTATGCATCAACCTCAAACTTGATATGGTTAAAATATAATTTTCCCTACTTTTAATTTTATAGCTATTTTGGATTTAACTTTAAAATGTAAAATGAATCCACAAGATATGGAAATAAATCTCAAAGGTTGAATCTATTTGCAAGTATTCTACCATTCAAATTTTGAGTTTAACATATGAAAAAATTAATTTTCTTAAATGTATCATATCGGTATAAAAATATATTCTTAAAATTGCTTGGGAAGATGCACAAAAATTGGCCAAGAATCCTATACTAGCCTAAACCATTAAAAATAAAAAAAGGAAATGAAAAGATTGGGCATATGAGATCGCTTCTAGTACACAATAAATGAACAAATATTGAAATATGTGAAACTTATGATTAGATTATGGTGCAAATGATGGAATAATTTCATGTTTGTAACTATCCAAGTCGTAGGATTATAAAGCATCCCCTCGTTCGTATACACGAGTATGCAATAAAAAACAATGCCACTTCCAAAAGTAAGGGATATTGAGTACTGAAGGACAAGAGATCAGTTTAGGAAGACCTCACAAAATCATTTTTTTTTTTTTAAACATATTTGCAAGGGGCGGGTTTCGAACCCAGCCCGGAGAGGGAGGAATGCACCGAGATGGCTATTGTCACTAGGCCTCAAGGGCCAGGTGCGACCTCACAAAATCATGATGGAACAATACGGGGAAAATTAAATTCTTGGCCTTTACAATCAGTACCATATAATCCCTAACAGGGAATGTGAACAACAGCAAGGGACAAGTCCCTGTAAGGTGAATTAAAGCACATTCTGTTGGCTTCTTAATGTGTATTTCCAGGTCAAAGAAGATAAAAAATGGGGATCAGCCTGGCAGCAACATACCATAGAGGTGCCCGTAGTGTATCAAGCTCCAGGAAAGGGTACGGCCACATGATAGAAGCTCAAAATATGTCGAGGGCCAGTGAACACAAAATTATAAGAGCATATATACAATAGAAAATAATAAGAAAAAACTTATTTTAGTATTATATTATCACAATTAATATTATTTTATCTAAATTCATATTTTTATATATTTAATTTTGAAAGAAAACACCAAAACTTCTCTTCTCTAATGTACACATCTACATAGAGTTTCTTCAAAAGTGACAATAATATTATTTTAGTTAATCCACGTTTTATATATTGAAATTATTATTTTGTAAACTTAAATTAATAAATTCAAATTGTATTTTAATAAAATCAACTTATATGATAATAAATTTAATTACATAAAAATTTAAGTGAAAAATAAATAAATTTTTCACTTAAAAAAATAAGTGAAAAAGTAATTTAAATTTGTTTACAAAATTTAAAAAAAATATATATATATTTGTGACCATTAACCCTTGTCAGTTTTGACACATTTGAGAACTAAAATGAACACATCTGGAGAGGAAATGATCAATAGACCCAAATATATCCTTAAACTATTTCAATTGAGGTTAAAACTTATTTTTAGTCCTTTATCTCAGTAAATTTGTAAGTTTTAGCTCCTCACATTATATTATAACACTTTTAGCCCTTTACCTTAATAAATTTGTAGGTTTTAACCCTTCACCTTATATTATGACATTTTTAGTCCATTACCTGTACGAGTTGAAGAAAATAATCCTTACTTAAGATCAGGTTATAACATTCTGTTAGTTCTATTAGCAGATTGCTAGTTCTATTAGCGGATTGCTAGTTCTATTAGTTGATTGTTAGTATTCCGTTTACAGAACTAATAAATAAAAGTGAATTTAAATTTCATATTTTCTATAACAGAATGCTAACAGTCAACTAATAGAATTAACAGTCAGTTAACAGAACTAATAAAATGTTATAACTTGACTTTAAATAAGAGGTTTTTTCTTCAATTTGTATAAGTGAGGGACTAAAAGTGTCATAGTATAAGGTGAGGGGTTAAAAGTGTTATAGTATAAAATGAGAGCTAAAATCTACAAATTTATTAAGATAACGGGTTAAAAATGTTATAATATAAGGTGATATGCTAAAATTTACAACTTATTAAGGTAAGGGACTAAAATTAGGTTTTACCCTTAGCCGATGAATTGTAGCAACCATCTCAGCTCTCGAAGTGAACCCTTCTCATAAAGGAGGATAATGACAAAATTTAGGAAGCTTCCCCTCAACTTGAATAAAATTGTTAGTCAAAGTCTTGAAATGGAGTAACTTAACTATGAGAGACTTTTGCCCCTTTTTTCTTTTCCAAACATGTACAAATTTGGGAGAGCAGAGATTTGAACCACATGGAAGAATGCACATTTCTTAAAATTTATGATCAATTAGCGTTATAAGCTAGGGCAGCTTCCACCCCTTTGAAGACAAAGAAAAAGGGGAAGGGGAAAAATCTCCAACCTTTGTTTCTATAATTTGACATGTAAGTAAAATATGAAAAAATGAGTTTCTTTCTCATTTACTCATACATGCATAAATTGGTATACAGCTTTAC